AAGAGGGGCGCCTGGGTGGCGCAGTCGGTTAAGCGTCCGACTTCAGCCAGGTCACGATCTCGCGGTCCGTGAGTTCGAGCCCCGCGTCGGGCTCTGGGCTGACAGCTCAGAGCCTGGAGCCTGTTTCGGATTCTGTGTCTCCCTCTCTCTCTGCCCCTCCCCCGTTCATGCTCTGTCTCTCTCTGTCCCAAAAATAAATAAATGTTGAAAAAAAAAAAATTTTAAAGTCACTAAGAGATCTTGAAAGTTCTCATCATAAGAAAAAACAATTTTGTAACTCTGTATGGTCACAGGTGAAAACTAGACTTATTGTGGAGATCATTTCACTACACATACACATACTGAATCATTATGCTAAATACCTTAAACTAATATAATGCTATATGTCAATTATACTTTACTAAAAAAAAAGTTGTATTTTTCACGCTTTTCTTATTTGTAGTTAAAGGTTTAGAAACTTAAAAAGCCAACCTATCTTTATGTTTAAATGCTCTTCTTACAACTCTTTAGGACCCACTGTGTGCTGTGTGCCACACAGTGTTAAGCTCTGAAAATAGAGGGTAAAGAGAACACACACGATTGCAGTTCCAAGGGAGTTACTGGTCTAGTTGGGGAGACAGTGATTATAGATTATACAGGCTCAACTGCAAATGTATACATAATCATAATCGTGGCATGTGAATGAGAGGGAAAACAGGAAGTTATAAAAGGATCACAGGACTCCTCCTGCAGAGTAGACTCTGATGATGGAGGGCTAAGTGTTAGGAATATTTAAGATAATATCTATGATGAGAAGGTGCCAACTGGAAACAGCATGTGCCAAGGCCATGCGGTAGGAAGTGGGAGAACAAAATGGCCCCTGTGGCTGGAATGTGGTATTAGAGGGCTGGGTCGGTCTCGGTAAGGCAGGCAGGGCCAGAGGGCACAGGCCCTCGTGGGCCACAGGAAATCGTTTGGGTTTTATTTGGGGTACGATAGCAAGTCAATGAAAGGTGTGGATTGGGAAGTGACATAATGTGATTTAAGTTTCTTAAGGACCCTCATGGCCATTTTCTCAACAAAGGAGAAGGGAGGAAGCAAAATGAAAGGGGAGACCAGTTCAGGAGCCTACTGGCCGGAGAAGAGGTTGCCAGACCATCAGCAGTGGGAACAGAGGAAATGGAAAGTTTCCCAACACAGCTCGGGAAAGATGAGGGGTGAAACGTAGTGGGTCAGAAGGAAGGAGACACCAAGAATAACCCCTAGGTTGAGGTTTGAGGAGTCATTTAGAGATGACGGGGAGAGCTGCAGTGTGGACATGTCAACTATTTGATGCTTTGGCGAGGAACCACGGGCACAAGTCAAGAAGGCAGCTGCGTATACCCTAGGCAACAGGGCACACCTCCCAGCGCCTCCCAGACTGTCTGCCATGTGCTCGGTAAATGTGTGTTGTGCAGAATTAGCAGCCTCTCCCGTCACAGCTAAGGACACGCAGTGACGCGGCTCTGTTTTCATCTCGTCACTTGTGAGACCAGAGAACATATTTAGACTGCTTACTGAGGATAAAACTGAAGTCTAGTCATGCCATGTTCCCACAGGATCAAATCTGTTAACTTTCAAATCTGTTTTACTTTCATGAACACCAGAAGTTAATCAGTTAGACAGCATCTAGATTGGTTAAAATTCCTGAATCATATAGTCACTGATCACACCATGCCCTACGAAGCCCTTCACAATCTGCCCGGTCCACCTTTCCAGCCTCCCTCGCAAACTTCCTGAGGCTTCCCCAAGGCAACAGGTCCTTTCATACCTTCACGAGAGCTGGGCACACACATTACCTGCAATGAGCTTCTCCTTTTTATCCTACTGACGGTTTACATCTCCTTCTGTAGGTAATTAATGCATTACCTCTTCCTTGAAGTCTTCCCTGATTTCTCCCAGCTGAGTGCCTTTTCTGTGACCCAACAGCCCTCTGTTCATAACACAATTGTTGGGTAATTTTTTAATCTATTAGGTCCTATGGTAATTATCTGATCATACACACGCTGCCTGAGACGCACTAAGGGAAAGCACCGTATGGGGTTTAAAATTTTATCCCTAGTGTGTAGCGTGATACCTGACGCACAGTAGGCATGGATTACATGTTTGTTATATAAGTAAATAAACGAATAGGAAAATGTTATTTCTAGTTTTCAGCAAAGAGCATTACAATGTGTGTTTTAAAAGATCTCCCGGGGCGCCTGGGTGGCTCAATCGGTTAAGCGTCCGACTTCGGCTCAGGTCATGATCTCGCGGTCCGTGGGTTCGAGCCCCGTGTTGGGCTCTATGCTGACAGCTCAGAGCCTGGAGCCTGTTTCAGATTCTGTGTCTCCCTCTTTATCTGACCCTCCCCTGTTCATGCTCTCTCTCTCTCTGTCTCAAAAACAAATAAATGTTAAAAAAATAAAAATAAAAGATCTAAGTCTGTAGTACTAATGCCAAAAAGTAGGTTACTTTCTATTCACCTAGCCAGCAAAATAAACCATCCTTTTAGAAACCCCAACTTATTAATACCTATGGTATAGTAAAAAAACAAGTGAAACTCAGAGAGAAAGGAAATGCATGCATAATATTTGCTCTTTACTTACCATTGTGTATGATTTAGGGAAATGATAAGAAACAAACAGGACAATGCCATTGTTCTATGTGTGATTCTCACACACACATGTACACGAGTAGTGATATCTTTTAAAGTACATATTCAGAAAACCCATTGGTATTTGAAGCCATAAAGCAGTGAGGGTCTTTATCTCATAATCTCGTGGGATAAAAAGCAAATGTTCTTTAGTTTTTACTAGAAGGAAATGT